GAGAAAGATGAGACTTTCTACTCCCGTAAAGATTTACACCCTCGGAAACCCTGTACAGGGTCGCTATAGGTCGGAACCGACTCGACGGCACTTAACAACAACAACATTATAGAGGTAGAATTCTTAACCTTCTGTGCAGAAGACTCACCTTCAAATCCCGCCCAGTGAACCTCATGTACCTGTCATCTCCATTTCTATAAAATTTCATATATGAGAATTAAAAGAAGGCAATGAAAAGTAAAAAATGGAATGGTGTGGGAAGGTTATTGGGAGTGCAGATGCCAAGAGAAAGGTTAAAGGAGTTAGAGAATGTAAAAGACCGTTGCATAGGAGATCATTTCTGGAGAATATTGAGAAATAATTACATGGTGTGTATAGAATGAGTGGTAATAAAAACTGGAAGCACAAAACATCTTTTTCAAGAAGTTTGTGCTGAGAGAAGAGTGTTGGATTTTCCTCTAATCATTAAACTAGCTTAGACTCCTGGTTGTGTGTTTTTTTTAATTTCAGGGCCTTCTCATATCCTAACACACATCATGTTTTATTGTGACTATTGCATGTTGTTTGAGGTTCTGTAAGAGTAACAATCCTGTCATGTTTTTCTTTGTATCCCAGACATGTGGTACTCCGTGGTAGGTAGCAGATGGTCAAATAAATATACTGGTTGAATAAAAGGAATTGTTGTATATTGGCAATGAGATGGCTAAGATAATTGATCGTGTTATCCTGATTGGATAAGGAGCATGTGACGCTAGAAAGAGTTTAATGGATTAAGAGAATAGGGAAGGAGCCAAAAAATCAAAATAGTTAAAAATTACATGCTCAGTTGAAGTAGATGATATCCCATGATGTTTCTTGTTCTCCTTTATCTTTAATCTCCAAGCAGAGATGGTATATTCAGTAATAACATGGTTGTGATCAGTATTGAATAAATTTTCCTTTAGCTGCATGTTCCCTTAGTTTCTTAGGTGGTTGACTGTATGGTGGTTCTTCTCCTTTTTGCCAATCTCCTGGATCTTATGGTTGATGGACTGGTAGATTTGAGCTAGAAAGAGTACAGAGAGAGACATAAGTCTCAACTCTATAAATAACTACCTATGTGTAGTTCGTTAGGTGATCTTGAAGTTTCCTTCCAGCCTTCACATGCTATGATGTTTATAAAAGCTGACTCATGACTGAGGCTTCTAGAATTTGGCCACATCTTTAAACCTTAGAATAAAAATATTCCCTGAAGTCTTCTTTAAACCAAACAGTTGTTCAGCTTAATAGTAAAGAATGTCCAGCTTGAGCATAATATTCTATTAACAAATATCTGTATGGGATCAAATTGACAACAGCAGCTCCAAAGATTTGATAGAAACCTTAGGGAGCAATGACTTTATGTTAATGAGGGAAGAACAGCTTGAAGAATATAATCCATGTCACTAAATTATACACATAGAAACTTGAATTACATGTTTTCCTGTGTATGTTTTCAACAACATTAAAAAAAAAGAAAAGCTATCACAAAGGTAATGTATAAAAATTCTTTTTAGCCAGAATGGTAAGTCAAAAGAGAAAATTGCCTCCCATCTACACAACTACGGCAACTAATTTTTAGCCTTACATCTTGTCTTAGTTTCTTAGGGTTACCATAACAAAATACCACAAAGTGGATAGCTTTAAAGAGCAAAATTTGTTTTCTCCAAGTGCTGAAGGCTAAAAGTCCAAACCAGGGTCTCAGCCATTTTGGTACCTCTTGGGGGTTTAAAAAATGTTACATCCCTCTAGCCTAATTTCTGGTGGCTGCCATCATTCCTTAGCATTTATAGATACATCTGCCTCCATCATCACATGGCACTTTTCAATTTCCCTTTTTATAAGACACCACTCAGATGGGATTAGAACTAGGATGCACCCTACTCTGTCTATGACATAACTGATAATTTGTTCAAATAAAGACCCTTTTTCCCCAAGCAATGTCATATTCACAGGTGCAGAGGTTAGAACTTCAACATAGTTTTTTTTTTTTTTCTTAAATGTTTTATTGTGAATTATTTGATAGTTTACATGGGAGAACACTAATTTTACATTCATTCTATCGTATATCATCTCATTGCCATGGTTACAGTCCCCTACATGCATCATCAACCAACCAAAGGGTATAGCCTGCAATCTTTACCCCCGTACCCCCCAGGTCTTCAGCACACAGTCGCTCTCCCTCTCTGGATCTAAAGTCTCCAGCTGCT